ATAATCATTTAACAACTCGTTTGGTTCAGTTTGTAGTGACCCTATTTGCTATAGCAGCGGTCGCGGGTTCGAGCCCCGCTGGGGGCATTCTTTTGTGTAATGAACACGAATGTTTTTACTCCAGTCATGGGTGTTTGTATTTATAATATGTATGTAATTAAAGTTATATATGTGTAATGTATGAACTATCTGGTATCCATAACACAAGTCTCGTAGATTACCATGGAACTAGATGATGCTGAGTGTCGATATTTATTTATTTGAATTTTTTCATAAAGTCCTTAAAAACATGTAATAATATGCTATTATTTTAAAGCAAGCCGCAATATAAAAAAATCTTCTAATAAAGTTCCTTATCCCATAATTATATTAGTAATTTTTCATTCAACCATTTTTACTTTGAAAGATTATTCGGAAATAGCTAACGCCAAAAAAACGCAGAATTTTTGTTTGTTTAAGAGGAATTTTAATAGAACTTTTTGGTACAGTTTATTTACAAAACTAAAAGCATTGTTTAATTTCATCTGTGTTCAGTGTATTCAAAAATAATGCTGTTAATTTTTTTTCGTAATAATTGACAACCATCAGGGCCGGATTTGATTTCTTCAGAGCGAAGGCCCTGGCAATTAAGAACGAGACCTCTAATAATATTGCTAATCTAGAAGATTAGTATAATAAATAAATAGTCAAAGATAAAACAATTCAGTACCGTTTTCTCTTCTGCTTGTCAACCAATTTTCTTCTTTTTTTGTTACATCAATAGCCCATCAAAAGCTACTAAGCAAAAAATCACTTCACTAATACAGGAGAAAAAAATAACTTAAAGAAAATTAAAGTGACTTAAAAAAAATTGTAAAATGTAAAAAATAACTGAAGGGGGGTTTTCATTTACTATAGATACTTAATCAGATATTTTCAAAGTCGGTGCCAGCCGATGCAAACAAAGCATATCTATTTCGTTACGTATAAATACATCACAAATCGATGTATCGATGTATAATATTTTAACTATAATTAAAGTCCATACCTTGTCATATTTACCTATTAAATATTCATATCTTAAAGCATTGTTGACTGGCATCAACTTCGAAATGATTATCATATGTGAATATTTTGCAGTTCCAATAATAGGTATTACATACATACTGTAAAGCATTCAAAACGTCGGAAACCAAAAATCAAAATAAATCCGCTGAAAAATCCGAAAATATAGTTTTATTCAAAATGTCAAATATTCGCGTAAATCTAAGAAAGTATTAAAAAAAATTGTTAATTTTTTTTATTTGACAGCTTACGAAGAAACGGTCGACAAAAAATCGTCAAAATTAATGTACTATGACGTACATAATTAAACCTTTACGCAAGTAAGGTCTTTACTTTATAAAACATTTTTCCTTTCGGATCATTCTTATCTCCGACCCATCTTAGGCTTTCATATGTGGAGATGAAAGGATTTATTCATATCCTTGCAAATGATCACGTTTACTAAAGGATATAACTTTTAGAAATCCTGCTTTAGTTATATTTGAAAAACCCGCCGTTAATTTCATATATATCACTATCGACTCACCCTCGCTCCGCTCGGGTTCGTCCCTACTTGCATTTTAACGTTTAGTATAGATTTCTCAGAGATGAGATATTTTCTCGCAGTAAACAAATCCTATATGTTGACCCGGATAACCAGCTATACCAAATTTGCTAGCAGCAAAAGCTATAAAAATCCCTCCAGTGGTTTTTCCGTGATGCGGTAACAGACAGACAGACAGACAGACAGACAAAAATTATAAAAACTATAAATTCGGTCTCTGTATCGATAATAATGTCTATTTCAATAAGATTTTTCAAAAAATATTTAATGTACACATTCGGCCTAGTTACAATTTTATATGATAAATTATAGTATATATAGTATAGATTATAAATTTTCCTCTCCACAGTGCTTCACTGTAATTTTGCTTTACGACATTAATTTAAAGTGAGTCATTTCTATATATGTAGCTTTTTATTTGTATACAGTAGGCAAAAACCAAACAGTTCAATACCTTTTTCTTCTCTGTTTGTCAACGGATCAATTATTTTCTTAGGCTATTGGCAAGCTTTAGTGTTATCAATAAAAAAATTAAGGTAAATTCTATTCATGTATGTTTTCCTCAAATAATGATTACGTTCGAATTTTGGCCACTTCAAGAACACTAGTATAATTAGACTAACTTTAATAATAATACTAAACTATTTTACTAACTTTCAAGATACAAAGTTCTATTTGATCAATCCATACAGATAAATAAATTTGAAGTGTATGTTTCTAATATCAAAATAACAGCTTTTGACTAAATACATATGAAAATATATGCGGTACTTATAAGAAAAAGAAATATTTTTAAAATGTTTGTCTACTTGTCCCAGCTAATTTCCGAAACGACTGGACCGATTTTGACGGGACTGTCAATGGCAGATAACTGATGTTATAAGGAGTAACTTAAGGTGCTTTTATTTAAGAAAAGGAGTTAGAATTCCGCAAATATAGCAATATAGCAAAAAATTTAAACCCCATTAAATTGTAAACAAAATCCGTGTAACCTAGTCACGCACCACTTACCAGGCACAGAGAGAGTAAATCGCTTGTCTAACTAAAGAGTGTTTTGAAAGTTACCTATTATACTTTAAAAATTTTAAAGACCACACCCCTAATTGTAAAACGAACTTAATCTTTGATTTTAACTTACATCTTAATATTAAACCTTAATCTTTTCGGATTTTTTCGCGGATTTATTTTAATTTTTCATTCCCGACGTTTCCATTTTTTTTACAGCAATCATGGTCTTATGGACAGAAAATGCCTACCCACAGAAATACAAAATGATTTAAAAAATCCAAAAATGGAACCATAATACCTTACAATATTACAGCTGTTACAATATTATAATTTACAGCTGTTAACTTTGAGCTTAACTACCCTTTTACAGATTAAATAGGAAAGCGGAAACTTGAATAGTGTCATAATCAAAGGCTTTTCAGTTCATTTATGCAGATGGTGAAATTCACTTTTCTCGTAATAGTACTGAAAATCAGACTAACCATTTATGATTTTTAACGATGGAAAGTAGTAAAAGGTATAAAAGTTCAATTTTCTTTTCAATATTCGCCTTTTGAAGGGGATTTTGGGTTTGAATCTCGATTGAGGCAAATATCTACATTAGTACGTTCTTCTTACGTTTGGTATATGCTTTTTTGACATAAGTATTTCATATACATAACCTACATGTGAGATATTGGCGCCCATTAATATATTAGTAATTGTATCTTAAAGTTTCTTCTATCTATAGACGTAATAAAATTCTAGCTGAGTTGAATCTATACATATACACAAGACGAATCTATAGTTTTTAGATTTTTTTTTCTGTCTGTCTGTCTGGATGGGTCTCGCACTACGAGAAAACCATTGGACAAATTTTGATGAAATTTGATATGATGATAGCTGGTTATCCGGGTCAACATATAGGATTCTTTTTACTGCGGGAAAACATCTTATCTCTGAGAAATCTATATGTCTCAACATATTTATTTTATTTATTTCTAAGTATAAAAAGCCTTTAAAAACGTAACCAATTTTTTTTCACAAAAACAAATTCAAAAAGGTCGGATTTACGTTGTAATAAAATTTAAAGTTAGACGCCGCGATACAACGAAGGTCAAATTAAAACGATCTTATCGACTGAAGTATGCTACGCATTTGAACACGCAAAAGTCGCAAGCAACAGATTGTTATAAAATACAAATAGATCGACATATTTATTGATTTATGTACAATGATAAATGTACTCGATGATTCCTATTTCCTTTAAGATTTACACAGATTATAAACAAAATAAAGGAAACGGTATGATAATAATGACGTTTTGTTTTTTTTTTCAATAAATAACTATGGGGCATGTGTGTGACTGATATTGCCTATATTTTAAATAGATTTCATATCAAAGCAATTGGCCCAACTGGAACGATCAGATGTTATAAAACAAAGAATAATAAAAATATTGTGATTTTTCATCGAACGTAAAGCTAATTTCTGCTTTTGATATACTTTGGAAATGGAATGTATATTTCGTCTGTATGTTTGCATGTATATTACGTGATATCTTCGCAAATTATGAATCAATTTTTATATTTATTTTTAATACATATCATAAACCTCACGGGTGGTAGGTTATAAATTTAAGATGAATATGTAGAAGTAAAATGTAATCACTGCTCTCCAGCTTTTCTTTGTCCGTATGGAATAGATTTTAATAAAAAAAGCTGTCAAGGAAGCTTCTAATATTAAATAATTAGAGAATTATGGTGTTATACTACCTCGCTTGCATTTTATGCTTATTTATTAGTAAATTTATTTCTATATAATATTTCAATTTCACATATAATATAGGTATACTAGGATAAGCTTCTAATAAAAGTTGAAAATGTGCACCTAAAACAATCCTTATAGGCTGGCTAAATTTTGCAAAAAATATCAATGTATATGTTAGATAAAATAATAAAATTTTATTGTACAAGAAAAAATACGTTAAACATACTTAATAATATATACAAAACAAATGTACACTTAATAATTACTGTACAAAAATCCTTTTAATATGAAAATATCGATTTATAAATTGGTACCATTATAATATATAGTCAAACACTAATATATAATTAATATTAAATCGATACAATGACAACGTAGCACATAATCGCTTTATAAATTAAATAAAAAGTTGATTACAGCGTGTCGTTTTGCCGGAACGAAGTCACAGCTTAAACGCGTTTAAAAGAATATTTTACGAGCTCACACTCGTTCGCAAATGAAAAGGGTCAATTAAAACACGTTTCAGCATCAATTTTTTACGCTTTAAACCCTTTATGGCGAGAACTCTGCACCATGACAGTTAATAATTAAGTTTTTAATGCTATCTGCGTTAAATATTAAAGATGAGGTAAGAAATTATAGTAAATATACTTACCCCAAAGTAGTCATAGTCACGATGGTGTACCAAAACGCAGCAGGAATTGATGTGAAGTTGGTATCCTGTTCGTTCTTCTCCGCGTAGAACATGACAGTGGCGAATATAATGATGGCCATCGCCAGTGAGAAGACCAGGAAACCCAATTCGCTGGCGCATGACTTTAAAGTATATCCTAGAATCCGAAGTCCTTGCGAGTGCCGCGAGAATTTGAAAATACGGAACACTCTAAACACTCTCAAGGTCACGAATGCGCCTGACACGTCGTCGTTGTCAGTGATCCCCAATCCAATGTAATATGGCAGGATAGCTACCACGTCGATGATCGACATGACAGATCTAACAAATTTGCAGCGATCCGGCGCCGCGAATAATCGGAGCAAATACTCAGCCGTAAATATCATAACACAAGCTGTGTCTAGACAAAAGAATACTATTTTATATCTCTCGCCACAAGGCAGAGTGCCCGCCCGCCCAGGCCTGTGCCCACACGGGACAGTTTCTACAACATTAGCCATCACAGAGACGGCGATGAAAAATCCAGTCACATAGTAAAATACTAGAGCGGCTGTAGATGTGTGAGGATTTTCGAAAGCCCTCCACATCTTTTGCCGTAAGTCAGTCAGTTGCGGCAGGCTCTGATCTCCCGCTTCGCTTAGTTTATCATCCATTAAACGTTCCGCATTTTCACGTTTCCTATCCCTGTAGTCCTCATAACAGCAATCGCCAATAACATCTGGCAAAATACCGAAAAACGCGAGCTCCTCATCGTACCCGGTTAAACACTCATGTTTTGGGTAGTGAAGCTTTCCAGTTCTGTAGTAATTGAGTATATGTCTGAATATATCTGGATCTCTGTCGAAGAAATACTCCCGACTGTCCTCGTCGTAGAAAAACTCGCGCTCCGAAGATCCGAGGAGAGAGTCGGGGTACTTCTCGAGGGTGTTTCTCCATGTTTCGAATCGTCTTCCGGACACATTGATGAGGAGCTTCTCGTCTTCGGCACGTCGGCGGTCTTTGGGCACGGGAGGGGGAGGCAGGGGGTGCGTGGCTATAGGGACCCAGCCGATGGCGGCGGCGCGCGCGAACGGCAGCCATGCGGCGACGGACGCCATCGCGTGCTGTCGGCGCCACCGTCGCCGCGATACTGACTGTAGCCGTACCCCCCCGCGTCGCGCTATTTCGGGCTACCCGCCCAGATGACGCTGTGTTACCAGCTTCTTAACTGAAATAGCCCATACACATGTTTCAATTTTATTGCTATTGGTTTTATTATAGACGTTAAATTAAAGTTTGTGTATAAAATATTTTCACACCTAATTTTTTTTAATTACTATGTAAACATTTCTTTTTTTTTATTACTCTCTGTGCACTGGTGACTTGACTCAATCTTCGATTAAAACACTACTAGTGGGATTACAAAATACACCGATATTTATTTCAGCAGTAAACGTATAGCCCCGTAGCATTAATTTCTTTAATACCCTATGAAAAAGCAAAACACGCACCCCGCAGCAACCCCATCCCGGGTAAAATAGAAACACGCGTGCGCGAATCGTGACGTCACCATCTAATAAATTGATTTTCAGCTACCCATCCCTTTCTCTTGCATATCATTCTCGATCACGCTATCCACCTCGCACCTGGCAAGCGCGGGTGACCTTTTGTACGTTTTTCTTAGTTTCCGAGATTTTTTTTAAAAGGCCTTTGTCTTTGCATGTGAAAAGACTGGATGCCTTAGGACCTATTTCTTAAATGAGTTTCTCTTTTCTCGAGGCGTTTATACTGTCAAAAATAGGTCTTGAAAACAGGTTAATGATATTAGGCTTAGTGCACATTGATTTGACGGTTTTAGACCATCGGCGCGTTAATCTCGCGAGCTATCTAGGACTGCTATTAATGGTCCATTCATTTTAATCAATAGATACTATATAATATATAATATTTATATAATAATATATGTATTTTATATATGAATAACATGACTGCTTCAGCTCCATATAATGAATATTTATCGACGTTTTGCCTTTTAAGCTCCGTCGTTGTAAAAGATTATTAATATCATTATCATATAAAGGTCAATTCTTTATATTAATTTAATACATAATTTTTTTTTATAAAATTAGAATTATTATTATGAGATACTAGTTACTAAAGGTTTAAAACTTTGCTGATCGCGATCCGTTTTGAATAATTTATTCAATATTTGTATCAGCTGTGAAAATGTAAACAGATGGACAGATTCAATTTTATATTATTACTAGCGGACCCGAAAGACGTTGTCCTGTCCGAATACTTAGCCTTTTGTTTGGGTGGCATAATTGATTTTGATAATAAAACAAATAATATCAGATAAACACGCAAATATTATCAAAATCAGTCCAGCCGTTTAGGAGGAGTTCTGTAACATTCACACATACAGAAGAATTAGTTAGAGCAGGACAAAAGGTCCATGGGTTCCGATAATAATAAAAATTTAAAAAATCCTTTAACCCGACTGCTACGCCATCTACCGGGTCGAATTGTGCATCTAAACCATCCAGGGAACCCTATAAATGCGCACAATGAATTTCTTCACAATCAGTTCAGCCGGTTAAGAGGATTGTGAAGTACCTATCGATACGCGGTGCGAGTAGATTTAAAAAAAAATGCTATCTGTTTCATACAGCTCACTTTGCCAATGTTGTAAGTTTTTTTTTAGTAATTCAGTATAGTTTATTTAAAAAAAATCACTGGAGGTTGTTTTTAAGTCAAAAATACAAATATTTAGATGCTAATAACTTCTATCATACACAATATTTCTTGTATACGCAATATGTATCTTCTATACTATAATAAAACAGTAGAGGTCGAATGTCTGTACATAGCAAAAAAATGCTATAAACCGAGTCAGGGGGATGTAAGAAGACAAATAGAACAAATCCAGATTTTTTTCTTTTTTTTTTTGTTTCTCTGTCTATTTGTCAGTTTGTCTGTTTGTATGTTTGTACGGGCTAATCTCCGAAACTTTTGGACCGATTTAAATAAAATTTTGCATGGTGGTACCTTATATCCCCAGTCAACATCTTAGATACTTTTCATCCCCAAAAATTAAAGAGTTCCAGTGGGATAGTTAAAAAACTATAGTATCTTGTACAGCTTAGTACACAACAACTTATGTACCTAATTTAGTAAAATTTAACATTCTGATACCTTATATTGCCGGTCAAACAACAGGTTACTTTCATCTCGGAAAAATGAACAGTTCCCGTGGGAACTAATAGATCTTTATTAGTGTTTTGTATAATATAATTATATATAAAAATTACCGATTTGCATTTCCGTTATCCCTGCCGTATCTGGGTCATGACTTCGATTCATAACGTAGGTACTTTTCGCGTGCGGTGAATGAAAGCTTCATGGGTAAAGCTGGTCTCACAATAATTGTTATAATGTAGATCAAAAATAAACATAAAATACATTTCATTTTCATCATTTGTAATATAAGAAAAATAATACGGTATTGAAATTTAATTTTGTAGCTTTGATATTTAATTTAAACAGACATATTCGATGATGACTGTATTTATTTAGGGCTTTCCCGGGATTTTGACCTCTATACGTTCCTTTTAATTATTTCAATTACTGAAAATTATAGAAATATCACTTACTAGCAACTCGACTTCGTCCCTAGCTTGCTTCTCAAAACAAACTTTCATCCCCATTTTCACCACCTTAAGGGATGATTTCCGGGACCAAAAGTATCCTATGTGCTTTCTAGGGTCTTAAACTATCTTCTTACCAAATTTTATCTAAATCGGTTCAGTAGGTCCAGAGATTACCCCGTACAACGTCACAAACTCACAAACTTTACCTCTTTATAATATTAGTATAGATACTGAAGTGAAATAAACTTTATACAATTAGACTTTTTACAAGTGTTTTGATAAGTCTAATTGAATAAAGTTTATTAAGGTTCTATTTTTATGTTTTATCCAATAGTGATTACCTTAATCAAGAAATTTTGGTAAAAAAAAATATAATTTTCCATATTTTATCTGGCTAACAAATTTTGAAAAAAAAAGCCAAAATAAATTGCTTTAGAGTATAGTTTGCCTAAAGTATAGTGTATGGTTTGCTTAAAGCGATGAGGATTGTTTTCTAATATATAGATAACATGAATGGTATAGGAAAAGATTGAAAATTATAAAATACAAATTAAGTGCATTGTGTGGTGTACCAAATGAAAACGATGGCGTCTTAAACAATATAATTCTACAATCGTTGAAATGTAGATATTTAAGAAAATATATGAGAATAGTATAATATATTATGATTTTATGGTAGGTATATCGTTTTTGTATAATAATTACACTACGGGACTTAAACACGTGAATTCGTTAGTGCCTGTATACCTTAGTCCCGATGTTACGTCGTTACGTTATAACGATTTTTGTCTTTTAAATACAATTTTTAAAATTTCAATTCTTTAACGATTAAGCCCTGTTATATAAAGTTCTTATTTAAATACATTTTTTTTAGAATGTATTTTCAATTCATTTTTTTTTTAGAATGTAACGGAATTCAATAAACGTAAATTAGAAGGCTTTGTCGTTTTCGCTTAAATACATCACAGGTTCGATTATCATGCAGAGCAAATACGCAATTATTACAATTAAAGTAGTGAGAAAAATAATTAATAACAATTCGGTCAAGGTACAAGCCTAAGTAGCGCACTACGGGTTTCAATACGCACAATAATGTTATTTTCTGAATTTACCAATAAAATTGGATTCAAATATATCGAATAGCGATTGAAATCCCTAGCGATTCCAACTCAGGCTTGTCCAGGTTTATTATAATAATAATATGTACTTTACACTGGCTGTAGTACGCATAGCGTGATTAATTCCCATCTACAATATATATATATATATATATATATATATATATATATATATATATATATATTTATATTTATATAAAGTTGCTATCTGCGTCTGTCTGTTTCTCTCACTTACTTCTTCTAAGCCACGCAACTGATTTTGATACGGTTTTCAATAATGGAAAGAGCGATAAGCAAGAAAGATTTTTTGTTTATAATTTGGAAATATTGTATACAAAATCAATGATTCTAGACGGTGTTTTTTCTAAAAGACTGTTTATGTACGGCTAACTAAAAGGAATATATCAAAACAATCTACTAAAAAATTGTAATTATAAAGGCCTACAGGAAAGTCCACAATGGTAAGTTTATATCTCCTAAGGTACGCTCACAATAACTATTTTTTTGTATTTAAAACGTACCCGGGCGAAGCGAGGGTGATTCGCTAGTATATATATAAAAAGCAAAATGCATATTTTTTTTTGCTAAATTTATAAACCCGTAGTGACAATGCCAATAAAGAAGTAAAGTTTCTTTTAAAATTTCACTTATTCGTTAGTTGATTTTAATTTCAGCTTTTCAGTTTCAATAGAGCCTTTATGAATAACGTTGACATTTTCATCGCAGTAATTAAACGTTTACCATTTTGCCAAAGGTGCTCGAATTATTACAATCTACTCTGTACTTTGTGTCATAAAGTCTGTGGTCGGCTGTTTTTTTAATTATACATTAATTATATCTAGATTTTTTTATTAATCTACAGTATATGTATATAAGAAAGGGTATTCTGTCATACTGTTTGTTATTATAGACTGTAGTTGTATGGAGATGAGTGCCGGTTCAATTCTGACTGGGGCTAATTTTATTTTTATTGAATATTTATAGGTACATGCTTATATATTTATATGTAATGGAAACACTCCATATCTGGTTAAACCCTTTTAGAGTTTTATTCATACTAAGTAAAATGACCTATTAACTGATTTCGGTTACAGCGATAATCTTATTGAAACTAAACCATCACCATCCATCGCAGAAGATATTGTATCGCACAAGAATGTGCACAAACACAAGTGCACTCTCTTTCCTGTCACTCTCATACTCCGGTGGGACGACTACTCGACACGACCAGTGAGAGTTAAGGTTAAGTTAAGGACCGACAGTTTAACGTGCGCCCCGAGGCACGAGGGTGCAACTAACTCCAACCCAACTCCGGTCTGCTACTGAGAATTTATAAGCAAAAATTCTAAA